ACCATCAGAAGAGAGAAGAAAGAAAAGGAGAGAGAAATTTAAGTACTAGTGAGTGAGTTTCTATTTGAGAGGAATTTCAACTGTGCAAACACCGCAAGAAAAGATTTAATTCCACTATCAATTTTCAGTGGTAATTCCATACTCTAATTATTTTATTTTATAACAAGAGAAACATTTTAGATATTTAAAATAATATATATCTTTTTGTTTTGGTGCAGATATTTAAAATCTTTTTTTTCTTTAATCACATGCTATGCATAGTCACTGCAAAGTTTTTTCGGTCAAAGTCACTGCAAAGTTAGGGGAAAAAGAAGTATGATGGTTGTCGGAGAGACACAGTGTGTGATAAATGTTTTTTTTTAAATTTCCATTTTACTCTCAAATTTTATATTTATTATTCAATTTATTAAATGTTCTATATTCCAAGCTAAAATGTTGCTCTAAATGGTGACATATCATTTCCAGCATTGCCTTAGGATCAGTTTCACAGCTGGGGGATAGCAAATATTGGTTTTTTCTCAAAGACTGGCCGTGTGGCGGTGAGGCAGTGTGATGACGATTTTGGAATGGGGGAATTGGATCAGAGTGCTCAAGAAGGATTTTGAATGCGAATTTGGAAGCTTGCAGTACCCAACAAAATTAAAATGCTAATTTGGAGGGCAAGTTATGAAATTCTACCAACTGCAGTCAGTTTATTTAATAGAAGGGTGCTTACATCTCAGGTGTGCTCAAGGTGTGGGAAATATCCTGAAGATGCCTACCATGCTCTATGGTCTTGTAAAATGAGTCAATTTTTTTTGGAAGTGTACCTATTTTATTCGGCGAATTAATATGGCGGTTGGCACTTTTGCTGATGTTTTTGAGGCTGTGGCTTCAATGTTGTCGAAAGCTGACTTGGAGCGCTTTGCTTGTTGTGTGTGGAGTGTGTGGAAATTACGTAACGATTCTTTGCATGAGAAACATATTACACGGTTGGATAATATGGTGGAAAACACAATAGAGATGCTGGCGGTGTTCAAATCTTGTGAGGAGTGGTCCAAGCTCCCCTTGGTACCTCAACAGGTCCAAGCTCCCATTGGTTGAAACCACTTTTATTCTTAATTCTGATGGGGTTGTGGGTCGTAAGCAAAGTGGACGGGGTATGGGGGGCTGCTGTTGTGATCATGATGACAACTTTATTTGTGGGTTTGCTTCTGGCAGTCCACCTGGTTTGGATGTTTTGGGCACTGAGTGAAGAAAGTTGAGGTTCCACTACAAAACCAATTGGCAATGGGGGGAGTAACCCAACTCCTTATACACCCAGACTTGGTCCCTTAACTTTTCAATGTGGGACAAATACTATCAACATCGAAAAGGCAATGGGGTGGTGCATGGCCTAGCCCAGCATAGACTGAGAGTGAGATCTCGACTTTTCTGGACAGACCGTGCTCCCCCATGGCTAAGCATTCAGTTAGATAAGGATAGAACTATGGTGTAGATTTTTGTTTGCATTATTGAGGTGCGGTGGTACTCTTTTTCCATGACCGAATTTTTCTTTATTGGGGGTTTTTGATGGCAAAGTTTTAATGAGGCCACATTAACGCACTTCGTTCGTATGTAAACTTCTATCGTTTGTTTGGTGTTAGTGATGAATGAAATTTTTTCTATTTGATAAAAAAAAAATTTATTAAATGATTTAAGAATAATTGAAATTTCATTCCCTCTCCAACAAAAAGGGATTCTCTTAATACATAAAGTATAAAACAAGATAAGCTGATAAAATATTTTATGTCCATGCTTATAATAATCCCTGAAATCAAGTGGTCTATATCATTTTTTCTTTGGGTTTGAAAACTAAGATGCATTCAGGAAAAAAGCAAGAGAGCCCCATGGCCAGGCCACAAAGTACCTAAGACTAGCTCATGCATTGAGGCCCAGACAAAGAGCCCACAGTACAATGAGATTGATCAAGTTGCATAAAAAAACATCGATGAAAGAAAAAGAAGAGGAAAACAATACACCACAATTTCCATTATTTTATCAAGATAGCTACCTAACTGAGGGGCTTTCCATAGGTACTGTTTGCGCTAAAACTAGACGGGTAGTAATTAGGCCAACTTAAAGATGAGGTGGATGTTGAAGGTGAGGACCCTCAGTATGTAAGAGCATTCGGTAGATAAATGGATATGCATACAGAAGACAAATGTATGTGGTTCACTCGAATAATGGGCTACGTCCACGGAGAAGTATGTTCTCATTACGATAATGTTGTATATAATGCACATAGGGTTTGACCCGAGGAGAAGAGGAAGAATACCGAAGGCTGATGGCCGAAGGCTGAGGATCTGGCTGAAGGCCAATAATCCGTGGGCTTGTAAATGGGCTCATGGGTAAGCCCATGAGGCCCAAGTAGCCTGCCCAACTCCCCCCCTCCTTGAAGGGGAGAGGTCTCCTTTTATAAAGAAGGGAGAGTCCCCTCCTCTTGTGTTTTGTCGATATGAGACTCCCTTCCCTTTGATTTGGGAGTGTTTGGGGAGTGCTTGGCCAGATATTGTACAAACAGGTACTAAATTTGTTTCAATGCCTGTCTGATTTGTTTGAGCTAGTTCTGTTGCCAAACATTCCCTTATTCCCATCACTACCTCACTCATGGTCGGCCTTTTGATGGCATCTGCTGATGTACATGCTGTTGCTATTTCCGCAGCTTTCCAAACAGAGTTTACATTGAAACTTCCCTTTAACCTCCGATCAACAATACGGAAATGTCCCCATTCGAAAGCATGAAAGCAACCCAGTTACTTATGTGAATTCTCTCATCATGTGTGTTTGAATAAACAGGTTGACCTGTGATGATCTCCAACAGTACAACCCCAAAGCTATAAACATCACTTTTCTCATTTAGCCTGTTTGAGTCGTGGTACCTTCAAGCCAACCGTGCATCACAAGTCATGTCAGAACAACAATACTAAAAGATCGACATGTTTCCTGAATTTTAGTTGATCAACATTAAGATGATATGGCACGTGACATGATAGTGTCTTACTCGTAGAAATAGATAAAGTCGAGAATAGGCTCAGATATGAACAAATGAAATGGCGCGTTAGGCTAGTAACAAAAACTTACTCGGGGGCAAGGTACCCAGGAGTGCCAGCAACACCTGTGAATATATGAGTACCATCCTCCTCAGTGAAATTTCTAGATAGGCCAAAATCAGATATCTTGGCTTGGAAATTTTCATTTAGCAAGATGTTTGATGATTTGACATCCCTGTGGATCATAGGTGGTGTACAACCATGGTGGATATGTTCCAATCCTGCATTGCAAAATTCATACTGATTTTATCACAAATTTTTATTTTTATTTTTATAAATGATGAACATAAATTGATAGTAAAAAGGGATTATGAAAATGATTTTGTTTCAGACCTTGGGCAGCCTCTATTGCTATTTGAAGTCTACCTTCCTAAGTCAAGACATTTGAACTGCTACCTGCATATATAAAATAACCACATAAACGAAACCTCACCTAAAGAAATGGTGAATTTGGCTAACGAAGAATTTCAATTGAAAACAAACCTGAAAGATGTGTTTGTAAGTTTCCATTGGCCATGTAGTCGTAAACGAGCCCTTTGTTGGTCTTATCATTGCAATATCCTACAAGGCTAATCAAGTTTATATGGTGAACTCTCAGAAGAAGATCAACCTGCAAATGAAGAGGCCATAAATGCAACATCTTAGTATATTACATGTGACTGAGGATTAGAAAGTCTGCAGTAGTTTATTTTGACAAACATGCCTTTGTGTTGAAATTAATGCACATGTGTGCTAAAGAAATGTGTGGAATGTGCAAAAGAAATATGTGGAGAAATCTAGAAGCTTTGAGATGAGCCTAAACTATTGGAGAATTATCTAGAGAAAGCCACACCCTATCTAGAACCATAGGGTAGGTACTCCTTGAAACAAGCCAACATCCTTCCTTAATTTGCTCTCTTAGCTTCCCAGCAACTTGCCACCTTTTATTTAAGTCAGAAATGACTTAAACTGACCTTGCAAGTGGGTAGAAAGAGATAGCACATGACAAAAGAGTTGAAAAAACACCTTGGAAAATGAAACAGAACGTTCTGAGCGACCGGTCGCTTTTAGGCAGAGTCTTCAGGGACCGGTCGCGTGAAGCTGGCAATCGGTCGCTCGCTGTTTTCGTTCCAGACTTACAATCTGCTTCAAAATGACCGGTCGCAAATGCCCAGCGACCGGTTGCTTCTCTAGAAGCTTGTATCCCTTATGCGAGCCATTTTTCCAACAACAAGAAGAATCAACATGACAATATGGAGGTAAAAACTGGCCCAAGACAAATCTCTAGAGCTGTTGTAACATGCAGGATCAGTTGGATAGGCTATACTTGTTCAATGGAGTTCAAATTTGGATATGTTGTAGTCAACATCTATTGGAACAAGTTTCATGAAGATCTTCACCTCATCCAAGTACTGGGGCATGTTGATCCAAGGCCAAGAAGTTGACCTACGAAAATGAACAAAAACAGAATTTATAACCAATAATGCATTTTTAGCTCAATTTCATTCTACCCAAGGTAAAATCTATGAAAACACAAAAAGGAAGTAAAATGCTATAAAATGTCAAGAACTAACTCAAAATATAGGGTGAATAACATGATAAATCATGTGTAAGAATGAACCCAACAGCTATCTCCCCTGTTAATCCGCTCGAGGACAAGTTCCTGCTTGCATGTTCCATGACTTCATTAGGACATAAATTTTGGAATTAAAATGGAATGACTTGAATAATTTTGTATGAAGATACTTACAAGGATGTGATTCTTGGGGTCTCATTTTCATGATAGCTACAATTTAGACCATTCCACAAGAAAACTACCGGGGCACATGGATCTCCTTGCCAGTTCTTTGTAATTTTATAAGTTGACTTGATGTTCGTGATTGCATCAACTAATATTTTCAGAAGGTCAGCAGAAAATGTCATTAAAATCAATCATCAAGGCGCTAAATCGGATGCGATGAAACTTAAGGAAGAATTACTTACAATCTTCTTCATTTGTCTCTGATTCTAAGAATTCTTTGACCATGTAAAGCTCAATGGCATTGACGATGGGTTTAAGGGTAGAGTTCTCAGCTGCAAAGATTGAAAAATTATATTGTACTTCTCCACCAACAGCCAAACGGGTGAAAAGAGTTCTTGTGTACAAGTATTCAGGAGAAAAAAAGCCCTTGAAAGAGCTCTCCGTTCTTAGTCTAGAATGGTTAGTTTTGAGCTTTTCAATTCCTGCTTTTATTCTTGTCTCATGTTGTTCTCCTTGCTTTTACTTTGTTCTCCTCATTTCTGTCTCTGTAGCAATTTCTACCTCCTAACAAGTCCTTTGTCCATTACAAACCAAACTGAGGCAGAAGATTCCTATAAATCTAGTTTGAAGTGTTACAAGAGGTTCTATGAAGCATGATATTTCAAAATTTTCTATCATGGCAACATGCACAAAACAAATAAAAGACAATGATCAACCAAGTTTTGCAAGCCAAGCATGAGGGTTAAAATGAGCCGAAGTTCTAGATCCAGAATAGGGATAAGATTTTAGAGAGACGGACAATCAGCCGACTACTAGTTGGTCTAACATTGAGACTGTCCCAAACTTAACCACATGTTATAGCATAACAAGTGTGAGGGGTATCACAAAATGTCTCGGTGTTATTAATCGTGGAACCACTCATTATATATTGTATTTTATCTTTGACTAATTACGTCAAAAGCCATTAAATATGCAGCCAAAATGTTATGTGTTTGAACCTTTCAACCTCATCCCCATTATCACTATGTTAACATGGAGGGTGGGGCTGTGCCAATCACATTTTTGTTTGTCACACTTCTGTTTCCGGGATTCAATGGTTGTAATAACTTAAGAACTTAAGAATTTAACTATTAGAAATACCAATATTATAATAGAACTCTTCCATCTCTAAAGAATATTACATTGATTCGACAACTGTTTTTGGTTTGTTTTTTCTTTTTCTATAATATATCTTTGTATTGGTCTACCATTTGGGGAAACGCATTGGCAAAGTGGCAAAAGGATGAGATGAGAAGAAGCTGGTGTCAGAGGGGAGGAGAAGAAGGGCTGCACGAGGGAAGAAGCCAAGACATGTGTTTGCGATAAAGAAGATGCTTTTGGTACCTATTAGGTACTAAAATTGAGACGATGAAATGTCTGTTAGGTGCAAATTGACATAATACATTCTAAAAAAATAATAAAAAAATTTGAACACATTAATCAATTGCTCAACTTGTTAACCTGGTTCGACTCAAATGTCCAAAGTCTACAACACAGTTGGTTTAACTCAAATTTAAGTATATGCAAGTAGTGGGTCAATGGCTTGAAAGATCCATTACCAGTAGATTATCCATGAAATGATTAGGAATAGGCATAAGATTATTCTTGATAATGTACCCACTATTCTTAACTATAACTCCTGCTCAGGATTTTGCTTCTAATTTGGACTATAACTCCTACCCATGTGCCTATGTATTATAACTAAGAATTTTAGGGAGCTTATTTGTGATTTTGCGAACCCTAATTACGAGTGAGTGTGAGGAAAACACTTGCGCTTGTAGTTGTTTCTCCTTCTTCTTCTTTTGTAGTGAGAATTTCATAGACCCGGGGACGTAGCTTATTTATGAACCTTATAAATTCTTGTGTCATTTGTGTGATTGGTTTACTATTTTGTTTCCCAATTGCATTTGTTGTTTCGCGTTCTAGGAGATCAAGAACCCGATTCCTAACAACTAGTATCAGAGCTTCATGTTCAAGTGGGAACGATGAAGGTACGATGTTGAGAAGAGAGTGGACAAGTTCGACGGCAGAGAGTTTGTGATATGGAGGTCGCAGATTAATAATTACCTAAAGCTCAATATTAATATTGCACAAGCAGTCAGCTTCTTACTTCTTTTCTAAAGAAGCTGCATAATTGATTATGAAATATTTGCAACTCATGCATATTGCATAATTTGGCATCTTTTACAAAAAAGATTGAAAGACTTCCAAAAAAATATTGTCAAAAAGAAAAGTAACTACTAGCATCTCAATTCCCATTATTCTGCCCAACAGAGTGATGATTTTGCACAGCAGTCAAACTCAACGGAGTTTCCCGACTCAATGTCCCCGCTCTGCTTTGCTCAACCTCATAAATTTGGCAGTTGGGACAACAAGTCTGGAATTGACCCTGTTAAGTTGTTGTTTGACAAGTCCCTGAAATCATTAGCAGATCAACTCATTTAAAGTGACACTGTCTTTCTTGTCCTTAGTTTGGTAATCGTTTGACACACAATAAGACATACGTCCTTACAATTTTTGGATCATTGCGAGGTCGGTTATGGAACGAGAAATCTCCCCCGTTAATCCACTCGAGGACAAGTCCCTGACTGCATGTTCCGTAACTTTAATTCAGTAATACACAAGAGAGATTAATTTTATTATTATTTATGATTAAAACATACAAGGAGGGATATGATTCTTGGGGACTCATTTTCATGATAGCTACAGTTTAGACCTTCCCATGAGTATACTATATGATATTTGAATTTAAAAATAAATTCAAATAAATAAATAAATAAATAAATAAATAAATAAATAAAAAATTGAGTTTAATTTAATTCAAGAAGCCCGAGATATGTACAAAAAAACGAATGTATTATTGAAAAATATATACATACGTGTATAATACG